GAAGCGAAACTCACTGTATTCAGAGTGATACTATTAATCCTACTTACGCGAACTGCAGCACGGTGTACCTATTCACCGCGACAGTATGCCGAAGAAATTGAAAGATTACATCAAAGTTGGAACACTAGAACACTCAAATTCTTCTAGAATCGAATAACCAATGAAGTATAATAGATTGCAAACTCGAAGCATCTGCAGCACGTGACATTAGAAATGAAATTTTACTGTCGAACTATTCCATATTGTAAAATTAATGACGCTGTTGGAATTGTGAATGGTTACTGGGTAAAATTTTTCAAGAGAAAAGTTCGTGAAAGCACTTAAAGAATATAAGCGGCGAAGATGCAGCGAAAACAATTGGAAAAAACATGAGTTAGGGAAACGGATTTATCGCATCGTGTAAGCATTCATTCTCACAAGACGCCTGCAGGCAAGCTAGTTAACAGAGGACCTTTCACATCTTTTAACACCCTGTATCGCTTTATTTGGACACCGCCAGTGGGTCACTTGAAGGTATGTAAACATGAAGATGAAAACATCTTAAATCACTTCTGTAGTGTGTTTGTCATCGTATTAGCACGATGCCTACTCTGAATTCGACTACAGCGCCTCCTCCGACTTCAATACAGGATTAGCTGCTCCTGCTCTCCTTCTTATTCGTACAGGTCCCTGTATTTAGCTAACCCGCCACAATACACTGTACCATCCCTACTTTATGCACCTTCATCCCTCCCACCATTTGCAACTTCCCTTTCTGTTACGTCGAGTGATAAGGCCTCATAGTTTCCTTATAATATGTAGTTTTTGAATTTTTATATTGCATTGTCCCTACTGCATATTATTTTGAAATGTGTATTGTAACAAATAATAATAATAATAAAGTTTCCAAGTCATAAAATCAATATCTGTTCACTCAGACTGCCAGAGAGGTCAGCAGCCAACCAATTAAGCGAGGTCACCCCGCAGGCGGGTGAGTGGATGGGCGAGGAAGGTGCGAAGTAATTAGACGTGGAACCAATTGCCGACTCCCATATATCGGGGGAGTCGGTATTTGTGTCCAATTGTAATTACTTCGCACCTTCCTATCCATCCACCACTCGCCTGAGGGGTGACCTCCCTTAACTGATTGCCTGGTGACCTTTCTGGCAGTCTCAGTGTACTGATATTGATATTGATATGAATTGAGGTTTCTATTATTGTGTTATTATCAGTAATAGTATAATATTTATTGTTAATTTTATTATTATTACACATTTTAAAATAGTTTTACCTATGTACTTTCGGTAGAACGTTAGAGAACGTGTCGTGCCTGGAACCCTGCCTTTCGCCAACATATGTTGGCTTTTAGGTGTGCCCTGGATTCATAGTAGCCGCAGCTGCCCCTAGGACCTCGGAGAACGTAAGGTTTTGGTTCATAGAGCTCACAGTGCCTGCGGGTGCTGAATGTAAATAAAAGGAATTCGGAGCTACAGCACTCAAGGGAACAGAAAGGGGAGGTGGAACGGGTGCAGCTACATGAAATAGAAGTGGTACAGTGTATTGTGGTGGGCAAGCAAAATATAGGGATTCGCAGAGAGAAGAAGAAGCAACAGGAGCAGCTAATCCTGAGTTGAAGCCGGAGAAAGCTCTGTAGTCGAACTCAAAGTAGTACAAGTGAGACATCGTGCTCATGCTGCGATGACAAGCACGGTACAGAGGTGATTTATGATGCTTTCATCCTGTTTCCATTCATGTTCAAATATAATACCTTTGAGTAACCTACTGGCGGTGTCCAAAAAGTGATACAAAGTGTTGATAAAAGAGAGAAAGGTCACTCTGTTAACTAGTTTGCCTGCAGGCATCTTGTGAGAATGAATGCTGAATGCTTACACAATGGATTAATTCTTTTCCCTTTCTTATGATATTTCCAATTGTTATTTTAGCCTCCACACCTTCTTTTGTTTTATTATTTATGCGTTTCACAGTTTTGCTTTGCTTTATTTTATTTCTTATGCTTTGAATGTAACGAAGTTTCTCTCACACAAGCGATATTCTCTTGCGATCCTCTTGCGTACGTCGCGCCGGCGTGCGGTCGGTTTTCATTCGCCTCTGCATATTTCGGGCTGATATCTGTTTTTGCTTGTCGCTTGACTGATTATTCTGTTGTTCGTCGTATGTGAGCACCAGGGTGGCACGGTGTGTAGAAGAAGAAGAAATTTTGCCATCGTATAAGGTCTTTTTTTCGTATTCCTTTTTCTTGTGCGTGCAGCGGCGCCAATCGATCCGCCGTGTTCGATATTATTGACTTCTTGATCTCTCTCTTTTTGTTCTACGTTGGCTCCCTGTGGCTGGAAGCCTGATCACTGAGGTCGTGGTGATTGTTTAGCCACCAGTAAAGGTCTATTAGTTTCCAGTCACAGAGTTTACGTGATGAACTCTACACCGCTTGCTCCTACCTCTGTTCAGAATCCCCGCCAA